AAGTTTTCCATAAGTTTTGCTTCAAATAGCTATAGAGAAAATATGAAGCGTCATTATACTATTATAGGAAAAAYGTTTTGAGCGTTTGAGTTTTAAATTTTTTTTAAATCGCGTAACGATAAAGATTTATCCTCAAACCAGGTATATGTATATCTATGATAATATAAGATATTATGAATTATGATAACTACATGCAATGTTTTTTGAAAAATTTATTAACCATGCCTTATGCAAAATGCGTCCTAATTGAAAAATAAAATGTTTGTTTCAAAATAGAATATATGGCAATATTTAAATATAATATATCCTAGACTGAGGTCCACTCCACCCCCTAATGTACAGCAGATCGATACCCACTTACCCGCTTTTTTTTTAGCTTACTATTGTGTATACAATAATGATATTAAAAAAATGATATCAAAAATAAAAATGTAATAATAGTAAAGCTAATAACCTTGCAGTTGATGCTTAAACAATAAAAAAAAAAAAAAAAAAATAATAATGATATTAATAATAATTAATAAAAACCGTCCCTTTAAACTCTGAATTGAAGTTTGGCTCATTTTTGATAAGAACTATCTATATATAACTTCTTCTAGTCAATTAATATAAATTTAAAAAATATATTTTGTATACAATATTATTATTTGTTTTATATACAGAATCAACTCCTAACATCCTTATTACCCAGACGCGTGTTTTTGGAAATGAAATACGACATAGTTACGGATGCTGCACGTTCCTTTAATTCAATTCACTATTCCACTGATAATAGTCACCGAGATAATGTCCAACTACAAAGTCATCAGCAAGAAACGCTATTGAAAACATATAGTACGCCGAAAATGTATTTGAAAGAATACGAAAATGTAAGTATCGTGTTTGCCAATGTCACTGGATTCTGGGATACTGTGCCACTAGTTATGAACCATGATGATTCTGGCTCCCAAACTTCCAACAAGATTATTACACTTATTGATCGACTGCTTGCAAATTTATTTCGTAAACTGGCATATCGCAATCGCTGTCTCCCAATACGCTTACTTGGCCACCGTATGTATTTCATTTCCGGGTTGCCAGATGAGGAAAGCTATGGATATTACGACGATGAACACAAGAACAGTAGTTGGATGATGAAAGACAATGGGCATGCTAGAAATGCTATTCAATTGGGATTGGATTTAATCGACGCTGTGAAGTAAGTTTTTAACTAATTGAATACGCATGTTTATTTCACTTACTACACCGTTGATTCTACCAATATACTTTATTTAATCTTGTCTCCCTTTTAGTAAAGTTAATTAAATAATTTCCATAAAAAGTGATCTCAAGTGTTATCTACATAAACTGTAAAAGATCCAAGTATAATAAATTTAAATATAACAATTTACCACATACTCTACAGCAGTGGTGGTCAAACAGGGGGGGGATGAGGGGGATAGATCCCCTCCCATGACTTTTTTTTCTTTAATATTTATAACGATTACATTTATGTATATTGTACTATAATGTTAATGTATTATATTTTGTTTTATTTTTTTCTCAAAATAACGC